CTGTCCATGGCTGCGCAGTATGCACCAAAGATGCAGTCGCTCTTTGTTGAAGCTGTTCAGATCGCGCACAACCTTTCCCAAACAACTCGTGACCCTCTCCATGGTCGCCCTTATTCGTCTACCGTCTTGGCGACCAACTTAAGGGGATGCGATCTGGACGACCCGAGTCTTCCCCGACAACCGGACGCTCGATTGCAAGACCACCGTCGGGAAGACTTGGCTGTCCTGCCTGCGCGGGTAACGTGAATATGCACTCTCCATCGCATGATCGGAATCCGAGACATTGCAGATGGTACGACAAGGATGACTATCATTGGGAGTGTCCGGGTTGTAAGGGGAACTACGGGAATGACAAACCTGGACACGTACTAACACCTGGCAAATGCAAGTTTGCAAGTCCTTGGAAGCTCCCCGACTATCATGGACAGATCCCGCTGGTTCCTGTCGGACCGGCAGCAGGACCTGCACCGCCAGATCCTGGTGGAGTTGCAACACCTCCACCTGAGGCACCAGCAGCACCAGCACCTACGCGACTGAGAGCGCCTAGACCTGGCCTGAGAGCTGGATCTACCGCAGGTGCAAGCAGTCACGACATTATTGTTGGAAGACACGCTGCTGAGCCTGTTGCAGGGCAACCTGCCTTTTGTGGATCTGGTAGTTCGGATGACCACCTCCGACTGCCACAGGTTAGAGTCAGACGTGGTCGACAGCAAGGTGGAGGAGCGCCTCCACCACCACCAGCAGGGAACCCTGCCGCACGACCGCGACTACCAGACTGGTCACGGTTCGATGTACAAATCAGTCTTTTAAATTTACGAAGCCTTGACCCCAGCGTGGTAACCCGCGAGTTGCGAAAGCTACTCTTACGCTGGTTCCATGCGAAAGAACCTAAGATGAGACTCATCTTAAGCAAAATAGGTTTGGCCAGTGTTAGACTCAACCTCACCCAGGGTGTCTGCGATACATGCCGAGAATGCAGAGCTGGGGGCAAACCTGGACACACAGCTATGCCCTCTACTGAATCACCTGGCACATCTAATGATGAAGTGGCATGTGACTTGATGTTCTACAACCAAGAACACAACATATTTCATACTATCGATCTTTGCACACGATATGCTACTGGGATGGAACTACCGGACAAAACGATGACTACTATCCTGGATGCATATCATCAGTGCTGGATGCAGTTTGGGCCAGCAAAGGTACTTGACTCGGATGGAGAAGGTGCCCTTAATAATGACACTGCGAAAGCAGTCCTCAAGGCCAAAGGCGCAGAACTTAGAATACGGGCGCGTGGACAGCACGCTACGACGATCGAGGCCAGAAATGGCATCCCACGTCATCGTACTCCACGTGATGGAGGCTGAACTCAATAGGTTAGACATACCTCTTGTGCCCACTAGGCTACTGCATGAAGCCTTGTTTGCTGCCAACGCATTCACTTTCTACAGCGAGGTGTCTCCATGCAATGCACTATTTGGACGGCAACCAGCAATGCTCCCTGACCTCCCTGTTTTGGACCACGAGCAGTCGACAGAAGCATCAGATCATTCTCGCGAACAGACATTACGCAGGGTATGCATTGAGGCGATCACACAGGCCACGGCAGTAGCTAAGACCAATCGTGCGCTACGCACTAAGACGACCATTACATGTCAACATTATTATGACGAAGGAGATTTGGTTGACTACCATCGCCCTACGACTACTAAAGATGGCTGGGGAGATTGGAATGGCCCGTTCCCAGTTGTGAAGAATGATCCTGAACGGGGTCAGGTCATCATCCGAGTAGGCAACCGAGATGTTCAAGTACAATACGGCGACGCAAAACATTCGCTCGACATTGATGCACTCATAGCCCGAGAGATTGGCTCCGACAACACTGCACTACGCACAGTGTTGACATTCGTAGCTCGCCTTTCAGCGGGGAGACCTGCGTTGACATGTGGCTATGTGTGTGGCCAAGAAAGGTACGCTTCAGATGACAACGGGAATTCGCCTATCTGCAAAGGTACACTTGGCTCTGTAATGTCTCATCAGAAACTTCTTCCGTATCGAGAATTTTGTTTCGGTCAGACTAGCCAAGGGCATTCATAATCTCCCCGCGGTTCCTTATGCCGACAGTTGCACATTGGTCCACTACGATAGCGATGTGAATCCAGGATTCCACTACTACGACGCAGAAGGTACTGCTCTGAACATACACGATCTAACTGGATCAGCACTCTCACGTCTCATTCAATGCCTGATTTCCATCAGACCTCAGACAGGCTTCGATCAGGATATGTCAAAGTTTGGGAACTTGGCGGATGCGCCGCCACCTGAGGGAGCCGCTAGAGAGGCTTCAGAAGCCGAACCAGAACGTGATGACGGACGGCTATCTACGATCTACGAAGAATCAGAAGCTGATCTTGAGTCGCATGTTATGGAGGTATGGTACGCAGAGTTGCGAGAGGAAATGGACTTGCTGGAGGCAGCTCCACTAGAAGAGCTCTTTACCGTACCCGCACAGACGGTTCCTGACCAGAGTGTGTTGATCACTGTAGCTGGTGAACAGCGGGGACACCTGCCGAAGTGGGGACGCACTCATGATCCTGATACTGAAGAAACATACTTCGCTCCCTTGTGCACCCTGGTCGAAGACGACAGCTATGGACTCGACTCTGACGCGCACGGTCCATGCGTTGAGCTCTGCTTTACAGCAGAGATGTCAAAGGTCGTCTTGTTCGCGCAGCAACAGATGCTGTTAGACGTCGACCGGGTGACCACCATGGGAGTATATGTTGCTGCCGCTGCAAAGCGAGCTGTGGTCGTCAAGGAAGACGACCTCCTCGCCAAGGCTGACGTCCAGGCGAATCCCGAGAAAATATCGAAGGCCCTGTTCACCGAACTCAAGACATGGTTCGACAATAAATGCTTCAGAATGCAGGAGATCGCCAAAGCGTCGAACATCATGACGTCGAGATGTGTATACATGGAAAATTTGCTAAAATCGACGGGTGAGATGGAACGCACCATCCGACTTCGCCCGGTACTTCGGGGCTTCATGGACCTAGAAGCTTTCGATGTAGTGACATTTTCGGGAACAGCCAGAATGTCAAACCAGAAGTGACTTGCCAGCACGGCAGCGTGCAAGACACAGTGGATCATTGCATTCCTGGACAGCAACATGGCCTTCCTCAAGGGATTGACCTATCGAGAACTCGCCGAGGCAACTGGTGAAAAGAAACGTATGGTGTGTTTTACCTTGCCGCCTGGATCGGCAACTGTGCTCCGTGCTCTTCCTGGGTTGGAGAACTACGACGAGTCAAAACACTGCTTGCAGTGCTTGAAACCGGGCGCAGGCACGAAGGACGCCTCACGGGCTTTCTCACTTAAGCTCATGAGAACCACCAGAAGATTTGGCCTCCGACCTACGTCTTACGACGAGGAGTTCGAGGACGAGCGCTAACTTGCTCACGGCCAAACATGTTGATCACGTTAACTGGCCGGTATTGAGGACACCATTGACAAGTATGTCAAATGTGTTGAGGATGCTTTTGGTAAGTGTAAACTCGACAAACACATATACGAACTGCGCTGTGAGGTGCACCAAGGATGAGGACGGCAATGTCACTTTGGATCAAGATGAATACATTAAACAGCTCCGTCCTATACAACATCCTGAATTGACCGGCGCGATGCTCAAGCGACCGAGATGGTGGCAGATATGTTCGTCAGCCTCAGAGGTGCGCTGGCATGCGCGTTGATCACCCAGGTCTGGTTGATGGTCTATGTCGTATCCCTCCAGCGTGTCCAAGATACGACCAATATTCAAGGGCGACGATTAAACGCGACCACCAGAAAGTTGTAGGCCTGCCCGAAGAAGACCGTCTACCAGGCGATGAACCCCACGCGCGAGGTCGACTTACATAGCGGCTCTGGCTATTGACGCCTGAGTGGAGACGCCGATGACGACGTCAAAGGCTATGGCATTCGCGGGGCAAGCCTGCTACGACGTGGAAACGCGTCATCTGGCAAGCCTGTCGTTCACTTGATTGTTGCGTACTGCAAGTTTCACCGCTTGCAAGTCCCCTCAAGCTGTTCAGCAGAGGCACTTGCAGCAGTCCATAATTTGGAGGACTGTCATCCCACGATTGTGACTGTGCACGAGCTCCATGCGGGGCCTCTCGCACCCACTCAATTGAAAGATATACTTGAGTTGGGTGGCCTGTGCATCAAGGTCCCTCTGACCATCGATGCTGAATATGTCTTTATGTCCTTGTCAAGCAGAGACTTGAAGAAGCCGACTGAGTGTACCCTTTTAGGACACATAAGTTGGATACGACAGATGATGGAGCGCGGAATCGTCCATAGCATACAGTGGTTATTCACCCGCGATATGATTGCGGATGGACGCACACAAGGGAGCATTGACAGAGAAATGCTCCTGCAAGTCATGGGAGGTATACAGACCTTCAAGCATGACCTGAAGAGACATACGCCATATCGGGCCGGCCAGACATCAAGTTCTGACGCCGCCTGATGCGTGTGCCCTACATTCGCGAGGCAACTCGCTGACGGGTCCAACTCCTTTGAGTCCGTCTCCTTTCCTGTCTTTGTATAGGGTAGCTGCTGACTTGTTCTCGCTTCACAGGTGGCGGACGCACGCTTCGTCTCTTTCCCCCCGACTCTAAAGTGAGCTAAGGTACGTAAGGAGCGGAAGCGAGCGTGCGCCCGCGGCGGTCTTGGTTCAAGCGGCCGGCCGCCTAAATTTGACTGCGCCTCATCGCGAGGCACTATCGCTATCGATACTAGAAGGCATCCCCTTTTACTTGACATGGCTTCCCCTCTAGCATTGGGACTACCGTTGCTACGATGCAACCGAGCTGGAGCTTGGCTTCGCCTGAGGCGAAGCTGGTGGCGGGGCCTCCCAGCCCCCTTTAAACTTGGTGGTGCCCCACATGTGGGTCACCAGCAGCAGCAGGAGTGGGGGAAATGCTTGTTATCCCATCCAGGCAACGCTCTCCTGCGCGGCGAAGTACGTAAAGCTCACGCGCCCGGCTGGCGACACGATCGTCAGCGCCGCCGAGATCGAGGTGTATTCGGGCGGCGTGAACGTTGCGCTACAAGCAAGCGTTGTCGCGCCTCCCATGGATGGTAATTCCGAGGGCCAGCCCCATTTTGTGAACGACGGGGACCCGGACACCTACCACCACACCACTTACGCCAACCGTCTCGGTGGCAGCATGCCCGAGATAGTGCTGACGCTGCCGTCTTGCACAGCCGTGGAGAGCGTGACGCTGAGGATGCGGAAGGATTCCAAATGGTACCGCGGCGACAGCTTGCTGTTGGAGCTCCTAGACGCCAACCACGGGCCCGTCGAGTCGATTTCGCCCCCGACCATCACGCCAGGGATGGGGTACCACTGGTCCACTACGACGTCGTGCGACGACAGCTGCGTCGCCGTGACCCCCACGCCGTTTCCCACGCCAGCTCCGACGCCAGCTCCGACACCAGCTCCGACGGTGCCGTCGCCGTTGCCATCAGTGCCTCTCGGGGTTTCCATCTATGCCAGCGGGCCTTCATACAGTAGCCAGTTCCCACCCTCGGCCGTTCTGGATTCGACATGGAGAGGTGGCAGTCACTATGGCCAGACGTGGCTGTCCCCCTCAGGAAAAACATCATGGCTTACCCTGGTGTTGGACAGCTCGTCCACCGTGACCGAGTTCCAGCTCCTCAACACGTGCAACTCGCCGTACAATGATCGGTCCACAAAGGACTACAGAATAATGGTTTCCAGCGACGGCGTCAGCTTCACTCTCGCCGCTTCGGGAACACTGACAAATTGTTATCCGATACGGGATACTCCCCTTGTCGTGCCAAACACGGGCCCTTCAAATGAAATCCGATACGTCAAGTTCGTGATGGACAGCTACTACGGGGTGAGCGGTGGCCTGAACTACTTCCAGGCCTTCAGCGGACAGGCCAGCGCTGGGGGGTTCTGAATAAGGCCTTCGGCCCTCAAACGGCGTCCGAGAAGATAGAAGACGGCCCTAGATGGACCAAGATGGCCGCCACCAGGCCCCTCAGGAGCCTCGAGGCCGTAAGAAGCGGTTTACAGAAGAAGTAGTACTGCGTCGTTTGGAAAGACCCGTAAAAAGGTAGGGAGGATGACACCCGAGTCTTCTGCACAACCCTCACACAAGACAGCCCAAGAATGCCTGGAGGTTTCTAAGAGGGTCCGAATACAGCGCAAGAGCCCTCCAAACTGGCCCCAAAACAGCCCCAAACATGCGTCCAAGAGGCGGCCCCAACGCCAGCTCCGACGGCAGTTCCCCAACGCCAGCTCAGACTGTTCCAGAAGTATTGGTCCCCAGATTTGCTCGGCTCGAGCTGGATCTAAAAGGGCCTCGGAGGGGTTCGGGCGCCTCCAGGGGCCTCCTGGGCGCCTCTTGCGACCATCTTGGAGGACATCGATCTAAAAAGAGGGGAGCTTTAATGAGCGTCGCCCCTCGGGAGCCCCAAACATCGCCTCTTGGGGCGCTCTTGGGGCTTTCTTGGGCCCCTCTTGGGGCTCTCTTGGGCCATCTTGGAGCTATTTTAAGGCCTCGGAAGGCCATCGGAAGCGAAAAGGCGAGAAAACACAAAACATACATGTTCTTTTGGTTTTTGGCGGATTTGGGCGTCTTGGGGCCTCTTTGGGGAGCTCTTTGGCCACTTGGAGCCGCCTTGGGGCGGTCTTGGAGCCTTTCGGAACATGTTGGAAGCCATCTTGAGCGATCTTGCGCTATCTTGAGCCGTCTTGGAGGCCATCTTGCACTCGCTGAGGCCCTCTTAGAGCCGTCTTGGGCCATCGTGGACGCTCTAACGCCTCGCCGCCCTCCCCGTCCAGGTCCAGGGGAGGGGGAAAAGGGGGAGGGGTAAACCCATTCCCGAAGGAGAAGAAGGGGGTTAGACGAGAAAACTCCCTAGACCACCTCCGCCCAGAGGGCCGGTGGGATTATGCCCCGCCCCTCGCTCCCCCGTTGTGGCAAGTTCAAAACAGAGGCCGGAATGCTCCAGCCGCCTAGGAGCCAGAACAAGTGTCCTTACATCTGTGGCTTATTTGGGAGCCTTCTCCTGCTCTCGAGGCCTTCAGGTGGTTTCGTGGAGGCCTCTTTGGCCACTTTTGGTCTTGCCGCTCTCTTGAGGCGCTCTCTTGACGCTGATTGAGTCACCCCTCGGCTTCGCTGGGTTTGTTCGCGGCCTGGGGAGCCTGACCAAGACACGTCAGAAACGATCATAGCGTCATGCTGTAGGAGGAGGAGGAGGAGGGTGAGGAGGCGGGGACGGACGAAGAAGAGGAGGATGCCGAGAAAGCTTGTTAGCCCATTCAGGCAACGCCACCTCCAGCGAGCGGCGCAGGCGCCGGGGCTTCGGCCGTTGGTGACCCCCACTTGCAAAACATCCATGGCGAGCGGTTCGACCTGATGAAGGCGGGCAAGCATGTTCTGATCAACATCCCTCGTGGAATGAGTGCTGAAAACGCCTTGCTTCGTGTGCAGGCTGATGCGCGCCGGTTGGGTGGACAATGCGCGGACATGTACTTCCAGCAGCTCAACGTTACAGGGTCGTGGGCAGAGGCCAAGCAAGCCGGAGGCTACCACTACAGCGTATCGCAGCATGACGCCAAGAGTCCGGAATGGGTTGCCTTCGGCAAGGTCGAGCTGAAAGTCGTGCGTGGACGTTCGGACAGCGGCCTCCTGTACCTGAACTTGTACGTGAAGCACTTGGGGCGAGCGGGATTTGCAGTCGGAGGGTTACTGGGCGAAGACGATCACGGAGACGTGAGCGCTGCGCCGGATTCATGCGCGCAGCGCCTGGCCCTCGTCGCGGGAACGCGCGGCGGCGGAGGCCCAAAGGTGGCTTCGGTCGCAGTAGCAAGCCTCGCCTGACCATGACGGTGTTGTGTGGTCGCTACCTATCAGGGCTCCCGCCCCTGCCGCAGACTCTTCGGGCTGGGCCACGACAGGACATTCCACTCCTCTTCCCCCTCCCCCTCGTTGTTGGGATGCTTTCTGGTCCCTCGCGGCCATTTCTCGGATGCCTCTGAGGAGGAGGAAGGAGGAGGAGGAGGAGCAGGAGGCGGAGGAGGAGGACGAGGAGGAGGACGAGGAGCAGGAGGAGGAGAAGGAGGAGGAGGAGGAGGAGGAGGAGGAGGAGGAAGAGGAGGAATGAGGAGGCCTCTGGAAGGGCTCTGGGGCACTCTTGACGCCGACGCCGCCGACGCCGCCGACGCCGCCGACGCCGCCGCCGCCGCCGACGCCCACGCCGACGCCGACGCCGACGCCGACGCCGACGCCGACGCCGCCGACGCCGCCGCCGCCGACGCCGACGCCGACGCCGACGACGACGAGGTCGCGCCCCGCGGCCTGGCCCAGAGGGCTGCCCGTCTCCAGGGGGGGGGAGCGGCGCGAGGGCGCGGAGGGCAGCCAGACGGCCTCCCTCGCGCCTCGCGCGGCGCAGGGCGCGAGATTATCACCCTCAGGTCCCGGCGACGCAAGAAAATTGCAATGGGCCACGGGATTGCCGAAACACGACTCAGGACGAAAAATCGGTCCCAAGGAAAGGGTCCATCCAGATCACCGAGGGTCCACGTCGTGCCAAACGAAAGCTGCAACATCAGCGGGTGAGGATGGGCGACTTGGATGATTCGTTGGCCTCCGTGGTTCTCGGGGGAGGGCCGGCTGAGACCCAGGGTCGCCTTTTCGGCCCTCGGGGGGCCCTCGTCGCCACCCACGGCTAGGCGCGGCTTGGGCAATTTGTGCGTTTGGACCCCGGGAGGGGTCCAGGGGGCCCGTTTTGAGCGGATGTTGGGCACCCAGCTGCGCTTCGAGGGATCGGCGGTCGGAGCGGCGGTCGAAGCCGCGGCGTGCAGAGGAGGCGTCGGGCTCGGAGGGGGAAGGTTCCAGAGGACGACGGCGGCGACGACGACGACGTCGCTGACGACGTTGACGTTGATGTTGACGACGACGACGACGACGTTTACGTTGACGACGACAACGCTGACGACGTTGACATTGACGACGACGACGACGCCAACGACGACGACGACGACGACGACGACGACGGCGGCGGCGGCGGCGGAGGCGGCGGAGGCGGCGGCGGCGGCGACGGCGACGGCGACGGCGACGACGACGACGACGTTGACGACGACGACGCCCACGACGTTGACGTTGACGACGACGACGACGACGAGGACGACGACGACGACGACGACGACGACGACGACGACGACGGCGGCGTCGGCGGCGGCGGCGGCGGCGGCGGTGGCCTCGGCGGCGGCGGCGGCGACGGAGGCGACGACGACGACGACGGCGACGACGACGACGACGACGACGGCGGCGGCGGCGGCGGCGGCGGCGACGACGGCGGCGGCGGCGACGACGACGACACCAGATCAGGACAGCGTTCAGTCAGGGAATGGGGGTCAGGTTTTCGGGGGCGGGTTGTTGTTTGATTAAGAGAACACCAAATCGGGAATGTTGCTTCATCACGGTTCTTTCTCGGGAGAGTTCGGGTCCTTTTGCTCACCGCAGAATTCCCTTTAGGGCACGCCTTTGGCCAAGGAAGAAGGATGGAGCCGCAAACACGAGAGAAATGGGAAGAATGATGATGAGGAGAGGGAGGAGGGGAAGATGGAGAGGGAGTGAAATGGGGAGGAGGAGGAAGAAGAAGAGGAGGAGGGTAAAGATTAGGAGGATGAGACGGCCTTCGGAAGTCCCGTGAGCGAACTTGTGCCCTCCTTAGGCCCTCCTGGGATCACAGTGGGGCTGTCTAAGACAGCAACCGGGTTCCACGTCTGTCCGGCGCTCTGTGGCTTCCTTCGGAGTCTGGCCAAATCGTGGGGTCCTTCATCGGCGCCCTCTGGAAAACGCGCGCGCTGTAGGTGGGCCACTTCGTATTGCCGCCCTGTGTTCTGACAGCCGGTGGGCGCCCCGGGCCAGCGGAATATTTTCGAGCGCTGGTCCCAGCAGCGGCCACTGTCATCGGCGGTTCCGTCGGTTGGGTAGGCTATCCCTAGGGGGACTGCGGGCCCGCTTTTGCTCGATCCTCTTCCCCTCCTCCCCATCCTCTCTTTGGGGCCGCGAGCGTTTCAACCCGCTCGTGTGAGCTGGCCATCTCCGGCTCGAGCCCTCGCTTCTGTGCGCTTGAATCTGGAAAATGAATCGGTCAGGCGTCGCAAACGGTTTGAATGCCAATTGCCAGGAGTTTTGATTTGTTATTTCGATCGTTCGTCTTGTGGCCGCAGATCTGCATGCCCGGATCTCTGGAACTTCCTGCTCGCCCTGCTCTATGCTGAAAGCCTCGTGCGTCCCCATCAGCCCATCCTTGCTCAGCATCGCGCCCCTTCTGGATGTGGTTTGGTCGTGGCTTGCCCGACCTGGTCTGGTAATGTGTGGTCCGGTGTGGTGCGATCGACAATTGTATCATGGAATGTCCGGGCCTGGAATTGTATGGTATTTTTTGGAGGTAGCGTCATCAGGTCGCGGATTTACGTAGACGTGCAAGCAGTGGTCGAGCGGGATGCGGTCGTCTCAGTGGTTCCTCCTTCTCCTCCTACCCGCCATCTCAGATTCCTGAATGTCTTCCTTGCGCTCCTCCTTCTGCCCTCTCCTTTCCCGCCTCCTGCCCCTGCCGCGCCCCATCCCCGCACTCGTTCATCGCCGACGCCTCGCTTTCAACACCTGCCAAGTCCGCGTTCGGCGGGCGGCGCAGAGGGGGGGGGGAGGAGGAGGAAGAGGAGCAGAAGCACGAGGGGGGAGAGAGGAGGGGGAAGAGGGGGGGAGGGGGAGGTGGAGGATGGAGGGAGGAGGAGGAGGAGGAGGAGGAGGGAGGGAGGAGGAGGAGGAGGAGAGGAAGAGGAGGAGGAGGAGGAGGAGGAGAGGACCAGATGATAGGAGTAGGATGAGGAGGATCTGAGGAGGAGGAGGAGGAGGAGGAGGAGGAGGAGGAGGAGGAGGAGTATGAGGAGGAGGAGGACGAGGAGGCAGAGGGGGAGAAGATGGAGATGGAGGAGGAGGAGGAGGCGGAGGAGGAGGAGGAGGAGGAGGAGGAGGAGGAGGAGGAGGAGAAGGCACCATCGGCGCGCCCGCCGAGCGGTGTCCTCCGCCTTCTCCAGCATCCGGCGGTTTGGAAAAAATCGGGACGGGTCAGCTCTTGGCCATTTCGGGCCTCCGAGGAAGCCGTTGTCGGGCCGCAGGGCCATAATTGTTAGACGATCCGGGGGCGAAGAGCTGGCACCGGGGGGGAGGGGGGCCGAGGGATCTTAGGGCCCATGCCCCGAAAGGAAAATGAGCCACTGGATGTCTGGGTCCGCTTGGGGGGCCGTGTGCTCGTCTTCCGCCCTGCCAGCCATCCTCCTCATCCTCCCGCCTTGCCAACGCATCCTCCTCATCCTCGTCCTTTTCTTCATTCCCTCACCCGGGCATCCGTGCTGTCCTCTCTCTTCCTCATTTTGCCTCCTTCCCCTCCTCTTCTTTCTCCTCTGATTCTTGGTGCCAAGTCTAGACTATACACACCCAGAAACGCACGCTACCAACACAGGGCGCCCAGCGCTCCGGCGTCGCAAAATCTTCGTTTTCTTGGTGCCAAGTCTAGATAATAGATACCCAAAGCGCGCGCCACCCCCGCAGGGCGCCCGGCGTTCCGATGTCACAATATCCTCGCTTTCCTGGTGCCGAGCCTAGACTATGCACACCGTGAACGCACGCCACCAACACAGGGCGCCCGGCGTTCGGCGCTCCGATGTCACAAAATCCCCTTTTCTTGGTGCCAAGTCTAGACTATACACACCCAGAAACGCACGCCACCAACGCAGGGCGCCAGGCGCTCCGATGTCACAATATCCTCGCTTTCCTGGTGCCAGCTCTAGATAATACTCACACAGAACGCACGCCACCAACACAGGGCGCCTGGCGCTCCGATGTCACAAAATGCTCCCCTTCTTGGTGCCAAGTCTACATGATACGCACCCAGAACGCACACCACGCACACAGGGCGCCCGGCGCCCCGATGTCACAAAATCCTCCCTTTCTTGGTGCCAAGTCTAGATAATACACACCCAGAACGCGCACCACCAACACAGGGCGCCCGGCGCCCCGATGTCACACAATCCTCCCTTTCTTGGTGCCAAGTCTAGACGTAGACTATACGCGCCCAGGGCGCACGCCACGTTGTAGGGCGCCCGGCGTTCCGATGTTACAGAATTGGCCTTCGTCTTGGTTCCGATGTTACAAGTCTTCCTTTTCTTGGTGCCAAGTCTAGAGAATACGCGCCCAGAATGCACACCGCCAACGCAGGGCGCCCGGCGCTCCGATGTCACGGAATTTTCTTGTCGTTGGTGCCAAGTCTAGACCATACACACCCGGAACGCGCGCCACCAACACAGGGCGCCCGGCGCTCCGATGTCACAAAATCCTCCCTCTCTTGGTGCCAAGTCCAGATTGTACACACCCAGAACGCACACCACCAACACAGCGCGCCCGGCGCTCATCCACCGACACCGGTTTCGGTATCTTCCGACACCGGTTGCGGTATCCACCGACACCGGTTTCGGTATCCACCGACACCGGTTTCGGTATCCACCGACACTGGTTTCGGTATCCACCGACACCTGTTTCGGTATCCACCGACACCGGTTTCGGTATCCACCGGCTCCCTCCCAATATGTTTTTCTCCGTTTCCGGCTCCCTGCAGTTCGGGTTTCTTCTCATTCCGGCTCCCTCCAGCTCGAGTTTCTTCTCATTCCGGCTCCCTCCAGTTCGGGTTTCTTGTTATTCCGGCTCCCTCCCGTTCGGGTTTCTTCTCATTCCGGCTCCCTCCAGCTCGGGTTCCTTCTTATTCTGGTTTCCGCCCGTTCCGGCTTTTTCCTCCGCTCTTTCGCCGCTCCCATAGCCCCTCCACCTCTTCTCTTCGGTCGGTCGTGGTCTCCGGGAGTCCCTGAAGGCCCTAGGGGGTCCCCGGAGGCCTTCGGAGGTCCCCGTGGCGGTACCCCGAGGTCCCCAAAAGCCTCCGGAGGTTCGGACCCCCCCGGAAACATTTGAAGACTTCCTTGGGTCGAGGGGCCCATCCCCCCCTCCCTTTCGCCTGCAATCGTCCGTTCTTGCCGCTTCGCCCACGCCCGCCGCTGCCTCCGTGCGGCCCGCGCGCGACGACGACGACGACGACGACGATGACGTTGACGACGACGACGACGACGACGACGACGACGACGACGACGACGACGACGACGACGACGACCGCCACGACGACGACGACGACGACGACGACGACGCTCGGGCCCCGCCGCGGTCCTAAGCCGCGCGAGCGCGCGCACGCGGCCACCATGACCACGACGGCCATGACCGTAATCATGCCGGCGGCCACGGCGATAAGCATGACGACGGCCACGACGCCGACGGCAACGACCACGACGGCGGCCTTGACGACGACGCACGTGACGACGAAGGCCGCGACGATGATAACGGTGACGACGTCGGTCAATAAATCTTCGGAATCGTCTGGACGGATCATTGCGGAACCACCCGTGCCGATTTCAATTCTTTTTGCGGTTCGGTCGTGGGTTGTGGCGCGTCATGGGTCCGTGTCGGCAGATCCGAAGCGTGTTCCGTTGTTTGCTATGTTCAAAGAATATCAGTCTCGTCTACCAGGTCGTCGTTATCCATTGGAGGAGGAACAAGGAGGGGGAGACAAAGCAAACAGGATGGAAAGAAACAATAATCAAGAGGGGGAAACGAGGAATAAAGTAAAGACGGCGTAATTTCATGATCTTGTCCGGCAGGTGCGCGCAACGATTTCGTTAGCGTCGTGCAAGGCGTCGTCGCAATATTTTCGCAATAATAACGTTTGCGTGGGACTGCCGGGCGTAAGCGATAGATATATAATCAAACTGGTATTGTAATTTCCCGCGAATCCCTTGCCGATGCACGTGGACTGGAACCCGTCCGTCAATAAAAAGTTGGTGTCGATGGTTGACGCGTTCCGATGAACTCCGCGCTCAAATCCGACAATGGCGATGGTCTTTTTCAATGTGCGTCTAATGTAGGGTGCAGCTGGGGACGACGATAAATACTCCACCAATACTTCTGTGGATATGTCAAGTCTTATCGGTTGATGGCAGTAACGTGCATAGTACCGACATCACCGACAGGCATACGCCGATATCCAAGGAAACCGCTATGGATGCGTTCTTGGATTTACGGAAGGATTTCCGCAGTTTTGGCATGAATAACGAAAAGGGTTTATCACGATGGTTGCAAGGTAAAGGGGTGGCAAACGGAGGCGTGCAAACAGGGAGATATATTTCACCAGAAGGTCATGCATGTATCCTAGATCAAGTACTACGAACGTGAGCACAGTATCCGGACTAGAATTGGCATACGTGGCTGTGGCGGACAATATATATATATATATATATATATATATATATATATATATATATATTTCAACAACCCACTACGGTTTTTCTTATTCCAAGGTTTATGCAATCGGGTAGTTGTCCGGTCAGGAGTGGGGCCCGCTCGGAATCAACCGTCGGAAGGCAGGACATCTGAAACACAAAGGGTTCAGATTCAGCAAGGTAACGACTTTATTACCTGACTCCCACCAGGAGTCCGGTGGCTACCAAACGGCTGGGTACATGTGGGTGGTTGATCTTCAAGTCGAAATCGATGCCCGCATTCGTATTGTCAAAACTGTGCCACGTTGCATACGGGAGCAATACGTACGAATTCTGACACAATGCTTGGCTACCGTAACTGGCATTACAAATGGTGGATGCAGTCACGTAACACGGAAGGGGATTGTATTATGGTGTGGTCTTTATTGGTTCTTCTTCGTCGTATGCTTTTCCATCACAAGACGCACGGGGGAGATGCGGGAACACGCGAATTGAAAACATAGACTCGCAATGTTTGACCGTGGGGAGTAGGATGTTCTCCTGGCTTCCGCGCATCGGCAACTGCAACAGCAAGAGGACCGGTATGGGCTCCGCCGCCAACGCAGACATAATGATAAAGACCAGCTCGATCGTCTACTGCAGCATGCAGCGCAACTTGCTGAAGTTGGAGAACTCAGCCACGCAGCTCGGAGTCTCACTTCTCCAGGGCTTGCTCCGGGAACGACGTCTACATTGGATCAGCCCAAAGATCCACGCCCACGCCCGACGGATCCGGCATAACCTCTACCAGCCAGTTAGCCTCCAGAA